TAGTGTGTTTAAGTGTATGTATCACTTTAAACTGTAAACCAAGTATTTTGGGTGCGGTTGTAAAATCACCATAAGAGGGAGCAAGAGAGCTCACTGTTTGCTGGCTTTTACTGGAATGCTGACAATGATGGATTGATGGTGATAAGTGCGTGTTTGCTGAGAGAAGAAAAGGGGTTTGATTTTTCTTGATATCTCTGATTGCAAAAGAGATATATCACTGGACTGATTGATTGTAAGTTTAATGAACTCTTTTTCTACACTGGACTTTGCAAACTGAATAACCCCCGGACTGACTGAACTTAGTGTATGACATATGGACCGTTTGACTATGCTATAACTCTTGCTGGAATAAAAACTAACTTGCACAGTGTATCTGTCTTACTGAGTGTAAGCTACTACAACGTTTTTATCTCACATATCTTCCTGTCTGCTAGACTGCCGTTGCACGTTCTGCTAGGGTGTATATCCCTAACACCTTTGCTATGCTTTGGTGCTCACTTAAGGAGGGTCTCCCTATGTGTGTGCACCCTCCCAGCGCCACAACAGCCCCCAGTCACAAGAGGAGAAGGAGGGGGGGAGGGTCGCCCGAAGGGAAGCCTCTGCTGCAGCTGGCTATCATTCCTAAGCCAGCCCAGATTTCCAGAAAGAAGAAATAAAAGGAATAGCCAAGAGCCCCAAATAGAGCTTGCTGGCTTGTCCCAGCCATGGCTTTCCTAGAGAGAAGAGATGCAGAGACTGAGACCGGGAGAGAGATACACACATACAGAGAGAGGGACAAAGAGAGAGAGGGGAAACCGACTCACAGGCGAGCATTTTTGGCGAGGGCGCTCCATCTTTCTTCAAGCCTGAACCTTGGGGTGGGGTGTTAGGTTAGGCAGGGCCAGCCCCCTTTGCTCTGACCCAGGCTTCATCAAACTTAATAAAACATAAACTGAATTTAAAAGTAAAATCTATTTTAATGCGACGCTGGGAATTACTTGAATTCCCAGCCAAAACTAATTATACACAGTTCCTCCGGATAAGAGCACACTTTTCAGTGCTGTAGAATGCTGCCAAAAAACCAGAAGTCCAATTAAGGCTAACATAAACCAACCCCAAAACCCAGAAAAAAACCAACCAGAGTATAGAGCTTCACAAAAGACTTGGAAATTACTGAACTGCTTTGCTTTCTGCAAAGCTTTTCATCATTCATCTTTTATCCCTTATAGGAGGGGCAATCACCTCCCAGCCTTAGTCCCAAGTCGCCCCTTCTGCTTCAGCTGCTCTTGCCTTCTAGCACCTCTGCGCACACGTGCACTGGGAACAGGCTCCCCTAGGTCCTCTGCTTCACTGCTGCCAGACTCCGAAGGCTCCGAACGCAGAACCCCACTCTCAGATGGTCCTGGCCCCATCCCTGCATCGGACGCAGGACCCTCGTCCAAGTCCTCTCAGACTCCCTGACTGGTTCCCTTTCATCCTCCCTGTCCAATACCTCTGCCGTCTGCACTGGCTGCCAGCGAACCACAACACCCTTTTCCTGCTGCCCTGAGTTTCTTAAATCCATGGCTGGGTGCTGCGGGCCCATCACCCTTTCCGTCATCCCCTCCTCCCAGATCCCATTCCCACCCTGCCAGCTCTCATGTTAGTGAAGCCGGCGTCAGTTGCAAGGCATGCCCAGCACCAACAAGGGCCGGAAGGCATGTCCAGCACCAACAAGCAGCAAGAGTGAGGTGCCAGAGAATCAGCCCCAGCCACTTCGCCATCCCCCGCCATCGTCCTTACCTTCTCAGGCCAGACAAGGGAGGATGAGGGGCGGGGCCAGCCAGTGATGGGACAGGGAACCACAGCACAGGGCCCAAGGAGTTGCATGCAGCTCCGGAGCCACAGGTTGCCGACACCCAATTTACAGGTAAAGATCCAAGAGAGGAATACGGGAGACAAGCTAAGAAACAAATAATCCAAGCCTTATTGCAAATGAGAGATGATGGATAATAAAAAATGGCTAGAAATTAGAGAAAGGGGGATTAAGGGAATAGAATTTTTACATTATAAGATGAATTAATAACAAGGGAATTTAGAATTTCAATGAGAGTAATTTTGAACATGTTATATGGAATAATTAAATAATTAAAGGATACAATCTAACAAATATGTGTATAATTAATCAATGTATATAAGATTGTTGTAATAAATATGAATATTAACATTTTATTTGAAGGAAAAGGAATGACATCTAGAATTTGGTTGATATAAAAATAATATATTGAAATAAGATAATAATGAAAGATTATAACTTAATAAAACAATTGTACCATTATTAGAATTATATAACTTGTCAAATGTAAATATGATGAATACTATTTTATTTGCAACAAATAAATTGTACAATGTGAATTAGAAAGGGGATATTTTTAAATATAATAGTGGTATAGTTAAAAATCAGAAAGGGGATAAATAATGGAAGATTATAACCCAATGTGAATTTTTATTTATTTTATTTATTTATTTTTATTTATTTATTTGATTTGCCAATTGTTTACAAGATAATAAGTATAAGTGTATACATAGTTGTGAATACATGAAATGGGTACATATAAGAAAAATAAAAGAAGAATAAGAGAAACAATAGGACAGGGACGGTAGGCACGTTGGTGCGCTTATGCACGCCCCCTACAGACCTCTTAGGAAAGGGGTGAGGTCAATAGTAGACAGTCTAAGGTTAAAGTTTTTGGGGTTTGGGGAAGAAACTACAGAGTCGGGTAGAGTATTCCAGACATTGACCACTCTATTGCTGAAGTCGTATTTCCTGCAATCAAGTTTGGTGCGGTTAACTTTGAGTTTGTATCTATTGTGTTGTTATGGTTGAAGCTGAAGTATTCATTGACAGGTAGGACATTGCAATGTATGATTTTATATACCATGCTTAAATCAGACCGAAGACGGCGTAATTCAAGGTTTTCTAGTTCTAGAATTTCAAGTCTGGTGGCATAAGGTATTCTACAACGAGTAGAGGAGTGGAGAACTCTTCTTGTGAAATATTTCTGGACTTTCTCAATTGTGCTAATATCAGATACGTAATGTGGGTTCCAGATTGATGAACTGTATTCGAGTATTGGTCTAGCAAATGTTTTGTATGCTCTGGTTAGTAGTGTGATATTACCAGAGAAAAAGCTACGTAGGATTAGGTTAACAACTCTTAATGCCTTTTTGGCTATGTAGTTGCAGTGGGCTCTAGCACTTAGATCATTAGCGATGAGGACTCCAAGGTCCTTGACAGAGCTTGGGTCATCAACAAGATCTTGACTATTCAGCTTGTATTTTATTTTCTGATTTTTTTTGCCAATATGTAAGACAGAGCATTTATTTGTTGAGATTTGAAGTTGCCATTTGTTTGACCATTCTGATACATAGTTTTATTAGAATTATATGCCTGTTAAACACCACAAATATGATAAATAATATTTTATTTGTAGTTAAAAGAGAGATATTCAGAATATGGAGATAGACACAAAAATTTGATATTGAAATTTTGAATAATCAAAGAATGAAAGATTACAATTTAACAAAATATGTATATCAATATTAAGATTGTCAACTGTATAAAATATGAAGAATATTGTCATATTTGTTCTGAAATGTAAGACACTCTAGTGCCGCACTGGTCACACAATGATATGTTTGTAAAAAAACAAGAAAAAATAAAAAATAAAAAAAACCTGATGGGATGCCAGTCCCTTCAGTTAGAAGGCAGAAGAGCTATACCCCAGGGAAAAATCCTTTGGATATCTCTCCCCAGACATGTGTTCAGTTAGCCATCTTCCCGGAAGTGAATATTTACCATTTCTGATTTTTGTACATTAGTTTTCCACAACTATGATGTAAAACAAAATAGAAATAATTGCTGCTGCAGTAAATAAGTCTGGGTAATCTATTTCAACAATATCCTCTGTTTGTTATCTGCATAATCCAGAAATAAAATAATAATTAAGAAGTCTATAAAATGTGTTAAACACACCAGATGCAATGATTCATTTTCAAAATGCTTCCAGTTCTTTGTATTCACATTTGAATTCACATAGTAATATAACCATTTCATCAGAAAATGTGAAAGCTCTGAGCTGCTCTGTTCAAATTAATTAAAGGGAAATCAATAGAGATTTGGAGGAAGAATGTAGACCATATACACATGTGCTGGCTATTCACTTAGCTTGAGAAAGGAAAACAAGAACTCCAGTTGGGAAATTAAAAAAAAAAAAAAAACTTACCAGAGAGTATCAGGACTATAGACTAGGCTGGAGAGTTAGAAAACATCTTGGACAAATTGGTATGCTGTTGCCAAAAAAAGTACATGGATATGACCATGCAGGGATCTATTCAATTCAAACACAATCAGTGGTGGAATTCAATTTTTTTTACTACCGGTTCTGTGGGCATGGCTTGGTGGGCGTGGCAGGGAAAGGATATTTTAAAATCTACAGTCAGAGGTGATATTTGCCGGTTCTCTGAACTACTCAAAATTTCTACTATCGGTTCTCCAGAACTGGTCAGAACCTGCTGAATACCACCTCTGAACACAATTGTAGTTAATGGTATGGGACCATTATTGATTTATTTCATTTTTTTTAGATAAGGAAGGAGTTTTGATCTGATTGCAGCAAAGTTCTTTTTTGCTCCTAATAGAGAGAGAACTTCTGAACTGAAACTTGTTTGCTTTCTTAAAGGTGGGGAGAGTCTATTTGGATGTATGAAAAGACAGAAGCAACGAACCCAGGATGTTTCTTTTGCCAGAAGTTAAATTAAGTTGTGCAAAATAGTGTTGGGGAATGTTAACAATACTTTAATGCATTTTTTTTTAATTTTCAGAGGGTACTTATTACTGTTTTGGTTATCAAATCCTGCTTGCTTGGGCAGATAAGAAAAAACATTAAGTTGTTCTAGTTGCCACTGCTGTTCTGTTGCTATAATGCAAGATTATCAATGATAAATAATATGTGTGTTTTTTTCTCCTCTCTCCCTTGTAGTTGCATTCTGCTGTGACCAGGATCCAAGTACAAAGACCTGGTTTCAATTACACATTTGCTCATATCTGCATCCTAAATAATGACAAGTCCTGCATAGTGGATGATATTGTACATATCCTGAAGGAACTGAAGGCTGCTCGCTTGTCTAATCAAACTAATTTTGCTATCACATATCCAATCACACACTTAAAGGATGGCAGGGAAGTATACAATGGGCATCAGCTTGGTGGAGTCACTGTGCACAGCAAAGATCGGGTAAAGTCTGCTGAAGCTATTCAGCTTACCTATTACTTGCAGGCAATCAATTCCTTAAATGACATTGTAGCAGAAAAGTGGGAATCCAACTTCTGTGACACAGTAGAACTTTTCCAGAAATCCAACCGGAATGTCACAATGTATCCTTTCACTTCATCATCCCTTCAAAAAGACTTCCAGAAGACAAGTAGGATATCAGAACATTACCTAACCACAAGCCTGGTCCTTGTGGTGACCTTGGCAATGCTCTGTTGTTCAATGCAAGACTGTGTCCGCAGCAAACCTTGGCTTGGCCTCCTTGGCTTGTTAACTGTGACTCTGGCCACTCTCACTGCAGCTGGAATCATTAATCTGACTGGTGGGAAATATAATTCTACCTTCCTGGGAATTCCCTTCATCGTGTTAGGTAACTATATCTCATTCTGTTATTACTGTGGATTTATCTGCAATATTTTTTGATCTACTCTATTATGATGAAAACAAAAGAGGGCATTATGAAGTACTCTAACAATTTGCTAGCCCTCTCATTTTGTTTAATCATTAGCAATCATTCAGAATAAGGATGCCTTATTTATGCTTATTTTGTAGTCAATAAATCTTCAGAAATTGTTGTCTATCAGTATCTTTGTTTACTTTGCTATGGCATATTCAACATTAGTCAAAATACAAGGAGTTTAAAGGGGGGGGAATAGATATATCACCATCCAGTCTAATTAAGTTCAAGCAAGAGATATGTCTAATCCCGTGATGGCGAACCTATGGCACGCATGTCACAGGTGGCATGCAGAGCCATTTGTGCTGGCACACAAGCTGCAGGCAAACTTACCTCACTACGCATGCACGCGCCTCATAGCTGATTTTCAGCTGGTTTGAGGCCTTTTTTGGCCTCCCAAAGGTTTGAGGAAGGCTTCTGCAGGCCGAAAACTAGCCTCAATTCATCATTTCCTGTTCTTCCAAAAATACCGGAAGTGACAAAATGGGGCTAGTTTTCGGCCTGCGGAAGCCTGCAGAAGCCTTTGGGAGGCCGAAAATCAGCTGTGAGGCGCAGTGCAGGTAAGGAGGCGGTGGGGGGGTGGGGATTATGCACGCATGTGGAGGGGCATGCATTGCCTTCTGGGTGCTGGCACACGAGTGCGAGCGTGCAAGCGCATGCACGATTTTGGCACAGGAGCCCAAAAAGGTTAGCCACCACTGGTCTAATCCATGCCACTCTAAAAATTCTCCAGCTCACTTTAAAACCCAGAATTAAGTTTGAAAAACCAGAGATTGAAAGTATAATATGAAAAGAACACAAATGCTGTAGTTTGTTTTATTTTTTATAAGCAAGCTAAATGGGATGCAGACATTTCCCTGTTCAAGGTTCAGCTTATTCAAGATGGGGAAAAGAAAATGATGAGAAGAAGGGGCTGTTGTCTCTCCTCTCCCATTATGTTATCTCTTCTGGACTTGTTGCCTCTATTGTTAGTAGCAGCACCTGGTTTTTGAGGCCCAAATTGCTAGTACTATGCTGATCTGCCTTCTCCCCTGATATATGGATACTTTGAAATAATTTAAAACCTTAGTTCTGTTGCCTAGTCTCTTGGCAAAAAGAAACAACTGCTTTAACATTTTAAAGGTGCTTTATACTTCTTATTCTTGTATTTTCCAGAGCACTGTGGTGAAAATTTTGCCCACTTCTGATTTATATAAATAGCAGGAAAATTGATTTTGTCCTTTGCTTCATTTTAGGACTGTTCCTCCACAGCAGTTTGTATTGTTTAAATGTCACTCTGACCACAGAGTGTGATTGGAGTTTTGTGGAAACCCAGAATTAACAATGGCAATTATATTCAGACCCTTGTCTTTTGCCAAGAAAATTGAAATTCATTCCAAATTGCCACATTTTGCTCAGGATAGATAGTTTAATTCAGTGTACACTCTATTATCATTTATGACATGTTGTTTCTGTTGAAGAGGGTTGGCTTCCACTTTTATGATTCTATATGGTCACCGTGAGGCTTCAAGGGAGTCTTTATTTAGTAAGTTATAAGGAATAGAAACTAAGCTGGTCCATAGCATAATTTTTCTCCACAACTATGAACAATGTAAACAATACCCAAGAAAGATATGATAGAGAAAAATAGATATTTCACTACAGAAATTGTGGTTGGCTCACATACAAAATTTTGTACAGATTTTCTTACTAAAATAGTTGTTTCTATAAAAGTAGTGCCTCCAATGTCCAGTTATCCTCGGCTGAATATCAGACTCTTCCAAAAACAGTCTACAAAGGGAAGAAATGCAGTCCGAACTCAAAGTACAGATAAATTAGAAATAAAAAAAACAATACAAACCACGCTGAAGTAAATTAACATTAAATTAACAGATAATAAATTGCAGACTTCCAAAAGATAATGAAGCACACAAAGTTGGGAGGATGCCAAAACCCAGATAAGCCTCAACAAAGATAATGCACGCTTTGCTTCCAGCAAAGTGCTGTGTGCAAACCCCTTCTTATATTCTGTTCTCCCAGCTGCAACTAATGAAAGGGATCAGGGCCCTTTTCTCTCCTGTAAGCCATGTTGCTCCCTTCTCCGTTCCTCCCTGCGTGCCCTAGGATGAAGCCCTAGGTGGCCCTGGGTCTTCCTCTGAATGCCAAGCCACACTGTGCCCTTCCCCTCTTTCTTCCACAGCCACCGGAGCCAGTGTCAGTGTACAGGCATTTGAGTTCTTTATTATTGGTCTTGTGTATGTTTTTTATATCTCCTACTTTGTAACTGAGATTTCCATCCTTTCCATCACTCTCTATTTCATTATGTACCATAAGACGCACTGTATTTTTCAGAGTATAAGATGCACCAGACTATAAGATTCACCTTGGTTTAGAGGAGGAAAATAAGAAAAAAATATTTTGCCTCCGTGCATCCCGTTTTTGCCCTCCTTGACGTCCAGTGGCACACTGCAGGCCAAAAACACACCCATTTTTGGACTCCAGAGGCCTCTGTGTGTCCTATTTTTGCCCTCCCTAGCATCCAGAGGTACTCTGCAGGCCAAAAACATGCCCATTTTTGGCCTCTGGAGTCCTCCTCGCTGGGGAGGGCAAAAAGAGGACCCCTGGAGGCCAAACCCCACTCATTTTTGGCCTGCAGAGTGCCTCTGGATGCCAGGGAAGGCAAAAACAGGATCCATGGAGCCTCCGTAGGCCCAAAATGTGCCTGTTTTGGGCCTGCAGAGTGCTCTGGGTGCCGGGGAAGGCAAAAATGGGACACACGGAGGCCTCCAGAGCAGTGGTGGGATTCAAAAATTTTTACTACCGGTTCGGTGGCTTGGTGGGCGTGGCATGGCTTGGTGGGTATGGCAGGGGAAGGATATTGCAAAATCTCCATTCCCATCCCACTCCTGGGGGAAGATTACTGCAAAATCCCATTCCCTCCCCACCCCACTAACCTGCTTTCCAGCTCCATTCTCCTGTGCAGGGCAACAAAAGAAGACCTAGCCGATCAGCTGGGACTCGGGAGGCAGAGACTAGATGGGGGCAGGGCCAGTCAAAGGTGGTATTTGCTGGTTCTCCAAACTATTCAAAATTTCCATTTCAAAATTTCTGATTCTCCAGAACCAGTCAGAACCTGCTGAATACTACCTCTGCTCCGGAGGCCAAAAACACACCCATTTTTGGCCTGCAAAATGCCTCTGGACACCGGGGAGGGCAAAAACGGGATGCACAGAGGCTTTGGAAGGCTAAAAATGGGCCCATATTCACTATATAAGATGCACAGATATTTCCACCTACTTTTTTCTGGGGATTATAATCCTCATCTCACTCTTACTCTGCTTCTAAGCCATTTAACTAAGATCAAGTATTTCTGTATGAATAGAAATAATTGATCTGATTATTATGAATAATCTGTATGAAAAATAGTATTTTTTTCAGGTTTACCACAATGGGATCTAAAAATGCCAGGAATCTTACTTATGGTAACACTGCTATTAATTCCTCACTTAGTATATTCCCTTAACTAGTTCTGTCTCTGATTTACTGACAGTTTAAAGAAACAATAATATCAATCAGATTTTACAATGTTATGAAAAGGACAAAATTAGAGGCATCTTTCAAAACTAGATAATAATTCTCAGATACACTAGGAAATTATACTCCAGGGATTAGATATTCAAGCAAGTGGCCGCAGCAAACTGCAAATATCAAAATAATGTTTCATATGTAGTGACATCATCAAGCTAATGCCACCATTCTATACTTGTTTCCTGAAACAACTATGTCACATTTGCAAATCAACATTGTCTCCTTTGCCCTTCCCACAAATGCCCACAATTATAACTCTAGGAAAGACTTTCAGAGAAACTTTAGGCAAATAAATACATTAAAGATGCTTGGAACGGGCTACATTTGAAGAGTCTGGCTGAGCCCTCAGTCTATTATTTCTGGTATAAATTAATTCAATACAAGTAAGACTATCAGGAATCATACAGGATGAGTATGTTTGCTAACTAAAATATATTTACATTTCTAATCTTTCTTCTTCCCAAACTTCAGGGAACAAAGTAGCTATCTAAACATATGCAAAAATATAGCATACAACAAAAGACAACGATCATACAATGAGTAGCTGCTGCAGAACACCCTGTTCACCTTGGATCATTAAAACCTATGTCATTGTATTACATTGGCAAGTTGCTCCATGACTATGTTTCTACCTATAGACATCTGGCCCTTGAGCTAGCACAGACTTCATGCCAGAGTGACCTTTGTGTACAACAGTTTATTCAAGAGAATTGTCAGAAGCCAGTAATAGCAGTAAATGTATGTTGAACACTGGTTTGTGACTAGATAAGGAGTAAAATATAAGACAGCTATTTGAACGTTTATATTTGAATCTTTTTCTTTTCTTTCCTGTATATATACACATACTAGCAGGGTACCTGTGCTTCGCTATGAAACTGTGATTGGGCAAGTTTTTGGGGAGGAAAATAAGGGGGAAATTGTGCCTCTGCCTACCAGCATACATTGGTATTCATCTGGCTACTGTCCTGTCAGTGTGTGAGAAAGTTCAGGGCTGTTTGGAAACTGAAACAGTATTTACTGTGTGAGCAAGAAGGAGACAGCAAAGAGCCTGGGCATGACTTAGCTCAACTGCAGTTGGAACAAATGTCTTTTCAGGTGGGGAGGGGAAGTAGAACTCCTTAGCATCAGAGCATGTTAATAATAATATAGAAAATACTAATGCTCTGGTGGTCATTTTGAAAAATCCTTTGTTAGTGAAGTTCTTGTGCCAACTTCTTGCCCACACAGAAAATACTGTTTCAGTTTCCAAACAGCCCCCAACTCTCTCACTCCCCACCTGAAAAGAAATTTGTGCCAACTGCAGTTGAGCTAAGCCACACCCAGGCTCCTTGCTGTCCCCTTCTTTC